GCGAACCCTGGTAGAGGGTGAGGTCTGCATGGTCTGGAGGTGAGGCTGTCTCTCTCTAATCTGAGGGAGAGATCAACTTGGGTCACTTTATATTTGACCCCATAGCTGGAAGTCTGCCGAGCTTGGCGGCGGTATATACAAGCGGGCACAAGTGGTAGTGTAGAGGTTAAGAAACCAGACTGGATTTTTATCTCTTTATTTTGAGTATAGTCAGGTCAACAGCTGAGTGGAGAATGATGATTCCGCCTCAGGTCCGGCGGCTTAAGAACCTGACCGCCGATGTCAGCTCGGCCGATGTGGGCGGTTCCACGGCGGGAGTCGGCCAATCGCGTGTCGGGTGCGGTCCTGCGTTGACGGCCAATCAGGAGCCGCTACAGCACTCCCCCTCTAGTGTAGCGGTTGCGAAACGGACTCTGGCGATCCTGAAGGGCTGCTTCAGGTGCGCGGGCTTGACTCGGTCGATGGTCACGGTGTCTTGTCCCTTAGGGCGGCGAATGGTAATCATCTTCTCCCCTCTTCTGATGACCGAGAAGGGCCCTTCGTAGGGAGGGCAGAGAGGGGGTTTCGGGTGTTTTCTTACGAACGTGCAAGCAGTCTTGGAGTCCTGGGGGTATGTAGAAGTCCTGTTGCCTCGAGGGTCTCGTTGGTCGGCTGCGTACCCGTGACATTCGGTCGCAGAGCTGCCTGACGAAAGTTCGTGGCTCGATGGTGCTGGCCTTGACGAGGAAATCCGCGGGAAGGGCGAGCGTGGTTCCGTAGACCATTTCTGCGGTAATGCACTGCAGGTCCTCTTTAAATGACGTCCGGATGTTGAGGAAGACAAGGGTCGACCCACCTCCTGTTGGAGGAGGAGGATGTCAGGGCCTGCTTCATGTGGCGGTGGAGTCGCTCTTGGCGCAGGGATGGTAGGCCGTCGTCCTGATCCGCTTGGACCCGAGCAGGATCATGAGGTGGCGCCAAAGTTCGGACTCGAACTGGGCGCCGCGGTCAGTCGTGACGGTGTCCGGGTTGCCGAAGCGGGAGACCCAGGTGTTAATGAAGGTCTTGGCGACTGTCGCTGCGGTGATGTCGCGGATGGGTGTGGCCTCTGGCCATCTGGTGAACCAGTCAGTCATCGTCACGATGTAGGTCAAGCCGTCATCCATGGGTAGGGGTCCCACTATGTCGATGTGGACGTGTTAGAACCTCTCGTCTGGAGAGGAGATTTTGTGTGCCTGTGGATCTTGGTCCTCTGGCATTCGAGGCATGAGTGACACCACTGCCGAACATCTTTGTTGATGGAGGGCCAGACGACCTTGCTGCGGATGAGGTGTTGGGTGGCCCGGATGCCGCGGTGCTGGTGGTAGGCATCGAAGAATCGCCGACGGAGGGAAGGCGGGATGTATGGGCGGGGTAGCCGAGGGAGACGTCGCAGAGAAGGTGATCGCGGGAGTTCGGGATCCTGACTCTCTCAGAGTTAAGGGAAGACTGGCCCTCGATGAGAGGAGTCATGGACGCGGCCTGCCGTTGCTCTCTGCTGACCAGATGATAATCCACTGCGTCGTCGGTGAGGGTCGCTGCGGATATGGTAACCCTCGATAGAGCATCGGCGGCCTCGTTGTCCACGCCCCGAATGTACCGGATGTCCGTCGTGAACTGCGAGATGTAGTACAGGTGGCGCTCCTCGCGAGGGGATTGGCGGCGGGTCCTCGAGTGTAAGGCGAAGGTGAGGGGTTTATGGTCCGTCAGGATGTGGAATTCCTTTGCCTCCAGAAACGGCTGGAAATGCTTCACCACGGAGTATGCTGCCAGGAATTCTCTTCCAAAGGCACTGTACCGTGACTGGCGTGGCGACAGGGTCTGCGAAAAGAAGGCAAGGAGTTGCCATTGCTTACCCTGACGTTGCTGGAGGACAGGACCGATGGCAGTGTCGGAGGCGTCGACCGTTATGCTGAGAGGAGCTTCCGGCAGAGGGTGGTTAAGCAGGGTGGCAGAGGCCAGGGTTTCTTTGCAGGCTTCGTAGGCTTCGTTTGTCGGGGACGCCAACTCGATTTTGGTGTTTCTGCTGGCCCTGTTGGGTGTGATCAAGGCGTGAAGGGGCTTGAGGAGCTAGGCACACCCGGGGACGAACCTTCTGTAGAAGTTAAACATGCCCAGGAATTTCCGCAGCTGTTTCTCGGTCGCTAGCCTGGGGAACTTCCTTATAGCGGTGACCTTCTCTTGCGCTGGGGTGATGCCTTGGGGGGTGACGGTGTGGCCGAGGAAGGAGAGGGAAGCGACACCGAACTGGCATTTTCCCGGGTTGATGACGACGCCCGCTTCTTGCAGTCTGCCGAAGAGGGCGCGGAGATGGCGGGCGTGGTCTGCTTCTGAGGTGCTGGCGATGAGGATGTCGTAGATATAAGCGAAGACTCTCAAGGCCGCGAGTCACGTCGTTTATGAAGCGTTGTAAGGTCTGAGCGGCGTTCCGGAGACCGAAGGGCATTCTGAGGAATTCGAAGAGGCCGAAAGGTGTAATGACAGCCGTCTTGGGGATGTCCTCCTCAGCGATCGGGATTTGGTGGAAAGCCCGCACGAGGTCGATCCTGGAAAAGACCGTACAGCCAGACAGCTCATGGGAGAAGGAGTGCAGGTACGGCAGAGGGTATCTGTCGGGGGCGGTGATCGTATTCAGGTGACGGTAATCACCGCACGCGCGCCAGTCACTGTACTTCTTCACCAGATGCAGAGGGGCCGCTCATTGGCTGCTGGAAGGGCGTATAATCCCCAAATGCATCATATGGTCGAATTCCGCCCTGGCACTTCGACATCTGTCGGGGGCGAGCGGACGGCAGCGAGAGTGGGCAGGAGGAGCGTGGGTCACGATGTGGTGCCGGACTTCGTGCCATGGTTGGGTGGCCCGGTTGATCGGCTTGGTCAAGGCCGGGAATTCCCGCAGGATGTTCTTGAAGGCGCAGGTCCTGAGAAGCACTGTATATATTAGGGGGGTACTTACAAGAGCCGGAGCAGCGTGCGTGCGGACCCCGAATTGGTGGATTAGGGCCATACCTTGAAGATCAACCGTCAGACCGTAGTGCGTCAAGAACGCCGATGATGGGTTGAGGGACGTCGGCGACGAGGAAGATCCACTGGAATCATTAGCCAGGCTCGCCTTCCAGCGAGAGGGTCCTCGAACGCTCGCCGTAAGTGTTGATGGGCGATAGCTTCCAGAGTGCGTTTGGTGGATTAGGGCCATACCTTGAAGATCAACCGTCAGACCGTAGTGCGCCAAGAAGTCGGCGCCGATGATGGGTTGAGGGACGTCGGCGACGAGGAAGATCCACTGGAATCATTAGCCGGGCTCGCCTTCCAGCGAGAGGGTCCTCGAACGCTCGCCGTAAGTGTTGATGGGCGATGTGTTGGCAGCTTCCAGAGTGCGGGAGGAGGGGAAACGTTTATCCTTGTGGGAGGCCGGAAGGAGGCTGACCTCGGCCCCTGTGTCGACAAGGAAACGTAGGGAGGAAGAGGCATCTCGGACGTACAATAAACGCCTTCGAGGTCCGCGAAAGACAGGCGCGCCCAGTTTCCGCGGTTTTCTCCACTCTTTGCGCGGCGGTGAAGGAACGCGGAAGCGAGGCTGGCGGTTGGGCGGTAGAGAGCGCCTTAAGTCCCGTTCAAAGCGTGGTGGCGAAGGGGTGCGAAAGCGATGCCGGGAGTGAGTACGTTCCTGTGTGGATATCTGCACAGCCTCGGATAGTGTGGCGACATGGGCTGCAAGGGATCCCAACGTAACGGCGGAGGTGGTGGTTGCGATGTGGGTGCCCTAGCTGCGAGCATCGCGTCGGCTTGCAGGGCAAGTTGCTCCAATGGGGCGTCTGACACCAGCAGGATTTGCTGGATATCAGCGGGAAGCCGCTTGAGGAAGAGGGAGCGCATGACGTCAGGTGGGAGCGTAGTGCCAGTGCGGGTGAGGAGGAGCTGGAAGTGGTGAAGGATTTCTGTGAGGGTACGGTTGTCCGCGGCGTTAGACGACAGGAAGGAGCTTAACGCGGTCAGAGGGTTAGGTGGTGCTCGCGCCTAAGAATGGCCTCCTTAAGCTCGTCGTAAGTGGCCGCTGCTCGGTGATGCGACGGCCAATCAGGAGCCGCTACAGTAGTGCACACAAGGAACCATGAATGGTCTGTGAGTTTGCATGATACATTATGTTATGCAGTATGCTATACTCTGTCTCTCTTTATGTGTATGGTGTATGTGTATATATACATAAAAAAAAAAAAAAAAAAAAATATATAATATATATAATATATATATATATATATATATAATATATATATGTGTGTGTGTGTGTATATATATATATATAATATATATATATATATATATATATATATATATATATATATATATATATATATATATATATATATATATATATATATATATATATATATATATATATATATATATATATATATATATATATATATATATATATATATATATATATATATATATATATATATATATATATATATATATATATATATATATATATATATATATATATATATATATATATACATATATACATACATACATACATATATAATATATATATATATATATATATATATATATATATATATATATATATAATATATTATATGTCAATGATATGGCCAAGCCGGATGGTTTCCCCTTTTGCACCTAGGCCCTAGCAGTTGCCTTCCTTCCTTGCATCGCACCTACCACGACCGAGCCTTGTCTGCCCAAGTAACTTTCTCCCCTCGAGCAAGTCCGGCAAAGAACTGATACCCAAAAATACAGAAGCAGATATATATATATATATATATATATATATATATATATATATATATATATATATATGTGTGTGTGTGTGTGTGTGTAGATATACATACACACACCTCTCCCTCTCTCGTTGATATTCGTTCTAATTTTGTTTAGACTTCCAAACCATTGGAAGATGGGTAGGAGGAGAGGGTAATGAATACAGATTATGTTTTATTTAACATTGTATTCATCATTCAGAAATTAACTATATATTGATCCATCGTCAAATGTTGCAAAAACATCATTTTCTTTCGAAGAGAATCACACACCAGCCTAAGAGGCACAGAATTCCAAACGAATGAAAAACTCTTACAGAATGAATGCCACTTTAAGTAAAGGAGAATGGATTTAAAATCTACTAAATTCAGGATCTTTGCATGGATCCTTTGTCATAAAATAAGTATTTTCTCATACAGAAAGTCAGCAGAATATAAAGTTAACAATATGCCGATATTATGTAATACCTAAGTCATGCAAATAGTGTTATATCATTTCGAAAAATCGTGCTAGTAAACTGAAGATAGTAAAAAATCTATCGATATTTTGTTATACAGTAATTTCACAGAACGTTAAAGAAAAAAAAAAAAAATTCATATTTCGAATGAACAGTCGGAAAAAAATGAACTGAAGTAATACAATTTAACCTCATACGCATCATGCAGTTCCTGCAGTGGCCTTTTACCCTTACCAAACCTATTTTCCATCAGTGTTTGGCGATGTCCCAAGCTCGTCCATAAGTGCGAGAATCCTGTCCATGAGTTGGACAGCAGTGTCTTCAGCCAAGTAAGAGGTGTCGTAGCTGAGTGTGTAGGGCGAGTGTCCTCGGAAGGTGTAGATCTGGTGAAGCATCGGGAACCCAGAGTAGTGTGTGCAGTTGAACATGGCGAGGTCCGTCTGCTGGAGGTGCTCCCCGACGCCTGGGATGAGGACCGTGAGGTCTCCGACGTTAGTGACGCCGTAGTCACGCAAGGCTTTAGGTCCTGCTGCGTGGTGTTCCACTGGAGGGAGCTGCGGCAGGGTCATCTCCCTCACCACGTTCTGCTGAAGGGCTTCGCCAGATTTCAGGAGAACCGAGAGCCTTTGGTGGAGATTCCTGGTGTAGTCCCAAAAGTTGTCCCGGACGTCGAAGGGCGTCTCTATCCTGTGCACAGTTGGGCGCACGTGCAAGCCGAGGATCGGGAGGGGGCGGCGCTTCATGTAGCGTCTCAGATCCGTGGCCAGGTTGATG